ATGCACAACAGTGCAAACTCTCTCTACAGGCTTTGTACTGTGTGTCTGGCAGACCAAGTTTGCCCTATTTGCCAGTGGAAAACTGTTTTAAAACTGCCCTTTCTCTGCCTGGCGTGAGCTTCTCATCTCCTGCCTCTCCTCACGAAGCCTGTGTTCGATGCCTCACTGCCAAAGCTGGATGTTTGGCCAAATGTGGCAATATATCACAAAGCATCTGGCATTTTTTGGAAGACCTGGTTGTTGGCAAAAGAGAGAACAGCACAATTCTCCAATGTAGCTGAACACAACCCCCATGTGCCATTTCTTAGTCACAACCGGTGTGGGTCTTCCTAAATATTGAGAACTTACATCTCCACTGTCAATCCACTAAAGAGGGAAAGAAGAATTCTGATATTTCCTCACAATGCTTGAAAGCACAGTGAAATGTTAAGTAATATCTGCTCCAAGTTTTTATTGGAGATCGCAGAGAGCAACTGGGCAATGTTCAACAGACAGACCATGCTGTCACCACAGAACTCCACACCATTCCTTCTAACCTTTACATTCACACTTCTTCAATAGTAGATGTAAATCTTTATCACTTAAAGCACACCTCAAAGTTTCAATAAACAAACATATAAAAAAAGCATTCGTTTACAAACTGTCTCTTAGGGTCCAAACCAGTTAATAATGATATTTTTTCTTACCATTAGGGTCTGGAGCTTGCTGTATGTGTCTTCCTCCGTGTTTCGCCTGATTCATTGTGTTGTTGTCGCTGAAAGTCTGCTCCATCGGTGTTTCTGTGTTTTCAGTGATTTCAGGGATGATTTCTGTAGCATCATTTTTAAACACCTGCCACCCTTCCACGGATCGAAATGCAATTTGTGCCAGGACACAGACAGCGCACACAGCCCAGGAGATCTGCATGGTGGCAGCTCACAGATTAGCTTTTCAGCACTCTGACAGCTTCAGATCCTAGGCAAAGGCACATTATTCCCCTTTTTAAAATCCTTTTTAGAGCCAAGCCAGCCAATGACCATACGAAGTGGGAAGGGCCAGACAACAACTCATTCATCTCAGCTTTTGTCAGTGGGAAATAAAATGGGTGTGTGGGAGTGGGTTGGTGACCATATTCTACAACTTGTATGCAAAAACTTCTCATATTCACTTCATTTTTGTGCCTGGCAACAAATGGTGATTGACAGGACTTGGGTGAATTGAAACCCAACAAGTCTTCCTGCAGCTTTTTTTCCTAACAATGTTATAATTAAAAGCTGCTTCTACCTCCATTCACGTTTGAATTTTTGTCTACTGTGTTTTCCAAAGGTTTTTCAGACTTTTTGCTTCTGCTCTTGCTGTTCCTCTTCCCTTGCTCGCTGTATAAAGTAAGTAAATCCAGAAACTGTAGCTCAGTAGTTTTGCTTCCTGCAGGGAAATGATTGGGGTTGGGGTAGCTTTTTTTATCCCTCTCCAAAACGAGGAACTCTACATTTTGTTTCCCAAATACAGTAGAAGAAACAGGGAAGAGCTTAATTTCAACGTGAGAAGTTGTTTTGTTTAGTTTTTCTTTAAAATAGCTATTTGGAATACTTTTTTTTTAAGGTAAACAGCCAGGATGTTATGCATCACACTTTTTGATGTGCTCTTTCTTACATTTTTAACACTTGGAGGGAAAAAAAAAAGCCACACAAAACAACCAAATGTTTGCATTTGCTTTAAATTCACTTCATATTGCTACTTCTACTGACATGCTATGCAAATGCTGAATATTTGCTTATTTTAAACACAAGACCATGACCAGACTGATTTCCAGTCCTGATGACAACTAATAGACAGAAAGAATTGATGACCTTATGTCTAGGGCATCTATGCCCAAGATGCATTCATGTGTCAGGTTTTAAGGTCTCATCTCTGGTAGCCTTCCTTGCAAAAACAAGATGATAGTGGTGACAACTTCATAATTTCTGTGTCTCAAGACCCCATAACACTTTCAAGTTATCTGCAAACGATGTTAGGCTAAATCCATTAATCAGAAAGCATCTCAGCTTTTAGTTAGGTTAGATACCACAGGGAGCTCATCAGAGCTCCTGAAAGCAGCAGAGGGACACCCACGTGTGTTACTGCCATGTTTGTCACATACTTTTCTCACGAAAATGTTTCCTGTCCAAGAGATTAAAAAATGATTCACTCTCTGCCTTTCCCTTACTCCTGGGAGACTCATTACCCAAGGCTTGCAATCCATTCTGACAAATCCCCTGATGGGGCACAGACAACAGGTGCCACCAAATTTCAGGTGTAGGAGGAATGGAGGAGTACAACATACTGTTTTCTTTTTACAAGGTTTTGTTTTTTTTTTTTTTTTTCAGCAACAAGAAAAACATCTCTGTGTTATCATCACTGTGTTTTTAGCAAAAATCCAAAACCCCAGAGCCCCACAGCAGCTACCAGGGCTAAAATTAACTGTGCCCCACCCAAAACCAGCACACTGTGCTGAAAAGGAATCAGACACATTAGTGGAGAAGGTACAAGGGGTAAATTGGCATCACGGTGTTCGATTTAAGCTTATCTGTGGTCAGCAGCTCATATTTCCCACACTGCCCAGGAATTCAGTTTTTAACACGATAAAGAAGTTATTTGCTTCTCAAACAGGTTTTTTTTTTTTCCTAAGATGCTGCTAAGACAGTCTTCCTCAAGCAACTTTTATGTGCCTCAAAAGAACTTTGCTGTGTCAATGCTGTCGTGTGATCTCCTGCAAGCAGCCAAGAATAAATGGGCTCTTAGTACTGTCCCAGCAGAGTCTGATAAATCACCCTGGTGCCTTGCCTTTTCCAATGCTAAGAACACACTGGATTCATCCAACAGTATTCAGGGACTCAGTGCTGACTATCTAGGCAAGAATAATAAGCCTATAGCTCCATCTGGTGAGTCAGCTTGCCAGCAACATTGGCAGACTGGAATTAAAATTAAAAAAACCCCAACCCACACTTAATTCTTTCCCGGATTTACTTGCAGGAGAAATTAATAGGACACTAATTCTCACTAATTCTCACCAGGAAATCCTTAGACAACACCTCTCAGGTTTGTTCTGTCTGTAGTTTTACTCAGCCCAGAGAGTAATTGTAGAAGAAACCTCTGTGCTAAACTAAGAATCCATTAGATAGTCTCTCCGTGCTAAAAACATTACAGCAAACTTGTAGAATTAATTTAAAAAATAAAAGAAGGGGGAAAGTCCTGCTTCTAATTCTAGCATCAGAGATTTAATGAGGTCTGGACAACAGAAGACAGCTCAATGAAAATATTTAAATGGTGAAAATAAACATTGCTAGTATCCTTTCTGCTGTTGTTCTTTGCTGAGATAAATATTGGCACATGTTTGTTTTTCAACTCTCATGAAGCGGTTTCTGGCAGTCCCCACGGTGCAGTCTCAAATGTCAGGTACAACACTTGTCCACCTTGTCTCACTCCCAATACTTTCTCAATTTTATATTACATATAATATATTACAATGCAATATTTCCTTCTCCAATCAGAAAAAGAAATGTAGAAGTACACAGCACATCACTGTGGATTAGAGGCACACAAGCTCTTCTTGGCCAGCTAAAATAGGTAGAGGAATTTGCACCATGACTGTACTCAGAGAGCGAGCCTAAAAGAGGAAGGGTGTGATCCATTAATGGAGCAGTGGTCTGACATTCTATTTTTAGCCTACTCTAAAAGCAGAGATAGAAATGGTTTCCTTTCTGAGTTGCCTATCAGCAACTTAGGATATATTGTCTCAATTTGTAAAACCAATTTATAACACGGTCTTACTTATCCTTCTCCATCCTCATATTACAAAATGTTAAATCAGTTTTATTACACTGAGACAAATGGGCCAGAGCACCACTGAAGGTACCACTAAAGTGGGAGTGTCCTGTGAAGTAAAAGAGTGTTTTGAATATAAAAACATTCCCCTCTGTCTTGATCCTGACAAGTATAAAAACATTGCTGTGAGGTGAACAGGCTCAAGAAACCATTCTGGTTTTAACTGACAGTTCCTACCTTCTTAAAATTTATGGAAGAGTAACAAAGTTCTAAGGCCTAATGGCTTCTTAGCTCTTTAATGGATTGGAAATTTGACTTCCAAGTAACAGGCAAAAGACAAAGTGAATGCACACAAATCTCTATTTTTTTACCCTTGCAGTGCAGATAGGTATTAAGAACACATGGTGTGAGACAAGACCAAAATAAAATAAAATAAAATAAATCTATGCTCACAGTAAAAATTTTAAAAGGATAATTTATAAATCAGACAGCAGTAGGAAAAAGTCAGCATTGTAGAAAAGATAAGGCCAGTATTCTATTTCCCAAGCTACCCAGCACAAAATTAATAAGTGGGAATTTTGAAGAAGCAATTAATTTAACCCTGATAAAAGGGGAGAAAGCAAACAGGTATGTAATTAGCCCAGGGAATTCACTACTGCTCATTATTACTGAACCATCCTGATACAAAGCAAGCACCGAGTCCTGACTGACTGCAGAGGGGTGATGGGATATATAAAGTGCTCCCCAGTTGTCACTTCAAGGGACACAGAAGAGAAAAGAGATTTGGCAGTTCCATCCTGTTCAAGAAAACGGAATAAGTCTTCAAGCAGAACAATCACCTCTGGTGTTTAATTTCAATAAAGTTACCTATCTACACAGAACGTTCCCTGGCCACTCCCACCTCCCCAAACCACACCACCCCAGTAACCAGAAGTAAAACAATGTACGATCTTCGTGATTTTTGACTGCTGAACTGAGTAGACAAAACTAGCTCTGGGATCACACGTGGTACTAATACAAATAGTGTTTCTGTTTAAAGTTTAAGATTTTTCAGTCTAGAACTACATTAAAGCACAGGTAAAAAGGGAACACAGTCACCCTGGTTTCTGTTTAACCAACAATTCTGAATTTTGAGTGTGAGATCCTTTGCATCAATAACAGTCCTGTAGCTCACAGGGACATATTTAAACACTAACCTTGCAATGACTCAGCTCACCTGTATGTCAAACAGAATCAAGACATCCTTTATTTTAATAGAAAGTAAATATTTCCTATACATTGTGGTACGTTACAATTCTCATTTCTAATTGAATGACACCATGCAAGCAATCTAAGAAGTCAAGAGTACACTTCTGCAAACTGCTTTGTAAGCACACCTGTGGCGCCCTACTGGAAGGTGTGTGTGCTCATTCCATTTTATGCTGATAAACAGTGACAGTAAATAAGGGATAAAGACACTGTAATTCCATACAAGCTCTGAAAGCCATCACATTCTGATACTTAGGACTTTATCATACATCCAGTACAAGCATTTCTAAATACAAACATTACTTCTCCCTTGCTCAAGTTTTTTCCTCGGCATTTGCTGATGACATTTTTTTCTAGTATGAATTCAGAACAAAAATAAAAGGGCATTTAATAACACACTATTTCATGTCAATCACAACAGCAGGAGGTACAGCTATTCTTGGAAATACAGTGTGCATCAAGAATGGGCTCTGAATGGCTTTACTACTTATTACACACTGTGTATTGCATAAATCCACACCAAACGCTGCATACACTTCATTTTACAAACCAGTGCATCTGTGCATTTGTACATACACTTCTCCACTCCTTTCAGCTCCTACATTCAAACTTTAGGCACCTCTGTGCATGAAAAAGAAGCTTTAGAAATTACAGTGCTTCTGTTAAGTGAGTGAGTGAGTGATGAGATGTGTCGGGGCTTTCAGAAACTCGTGCTCTGGTGAGACACAAGATAAAGCTTAAACGAATCACATTCAGTGTCAGTGCAAACCACACATGCTATGAAGTCTTCAGGGGCTCTGAAATACACGTGGAGATAGCTGTTCTCACTGGAGATACCCCTCTAAAAACACCTCTTCATTGCAACAGCTCCAAACAGCAACACAGCTTTGTGCTGCATCGACAGTCCCAGAGTTCAAGACAGATACTTTCGCCGGACGAGCAGGAATCCTGCCTCTCTCTAGCTTGGTGGCTGGGGGGGGTTTGGGGTCTCTAAGATGTCCTCTAAAGGTCTGAGAGACTTAAAAAAAAAATAAACACCGCAGCGCCCCCCGTCCTAGGGCTTCAGTTTGCCCTCCTTCACTAATCGCTCGTTGAGCTGGCACAGCTGCCTCAGGAAGCCGTCGTTGGGGCCGATCTCCCGCTTCTGCCGCACGGTGCTCAGCGCGGTCTTGACGTCCATGTGGCGGCGGAGCATGAGGTAGGCGATGACCAGCGTGGGGGAGCGGCTGTAACCCTCGCGGCAGTGCACGAACACCTGTCCTGCGGGGGGGGGGGGAGACAGGGCGGGATTTGGGGTTACAGCGGAAGCAACGTGAGATCTTTGGGGTGTAAAGCGGAGTGTTTATCGGTCCCTTCGCGGCTGGCGAGTTCCAAATGGACAGAGGGTGAATAGAACTTAGGGGGGAGGTGCTAACACTCTGTTAGTGGGGTCGAGGATGATGCAAAAGGGAAAGGTTCTATATCAAACAATCACACATTTGCTACTGTATTACAAGAGTAAAGCTGTGTCTGTTCACTGCACTTCCCCGATCTTTTGTGGTTTTAGGACAAGCCTTGCCCCTAAAAGATGACCAGCACCAAAGAGCACAAGTAACAGAACAACAGGTGAGAGAGAGGAGGGAGAATATGTTAATCTTAAAACTGGCTCCAGCAACAAAGTTCCTCTTTGTTTGCCGCTGTAAGAACACAGTGGCAGGCACGGTAGACAGCCACAAAGACTGAAAGAATCAGCAAATACAACTGACACTGCACATTCAGATTGACTCTGCAACTACTCAGATCAAACTGTGCAAGGAGAGCCATGGATGGCACTGTTAAACTCTTCTCTCCTCCTGCAGCCTGTTTCAGTCAGTCACAGCAACAACTGCAAGAGTCACATTTCAAGTTTTAGAAGTTCTCCTACTCCACCAAACTGGATGTAAAATTTACTTCCATCTGTCAAAAATCCACATCACAGCTCCTGTACCCCTTTGCCCATTTCAGAGAAAGAACTTCTAGAATTGTTGGGCACTCCTTTTTCATGCTTAATCGTGAGGCAATTGTAGAAATAACTGGTATGCTGACACAGTCAGACAATAACAAACACCATCTGTCCCACTGCACTATGTCCTGGGATTTCTGCTCTGAGGAAATACACTGTAGAGAAATGTGGCAATCAACAACAAATATAATCTTCAGTTTTCCTGCAATCCCACAAAACAAAAGAGGCAATCAACACATAAAATAATGTCGTGACTTAATGTAATAAAAACTGCAAGGTGACAGTCTCTATCCTTACTGCACATTTAGAAAAAACCCACATAACAGCTTATGTGAATACTCTTCAGCAGTGCATTACTTGTATCACTTCTGCCCTTGAATTTCAAGATCTAGTGTCCTAAACCAACTTTTAGACACTGGACTTACTTTTTAAAATTATTTTTTCATGTGATGTAACACTTCTAAGGAAAAATAAAATCGTATCTTCCCAGAAAGGAAGCAGCAGCTGTTTCCCTTTTCAAAGTCTCCCCTACAAAGACAGACTTCCCTTTGCCATATACTGGAGACCTACATGTATGAACAGAAGACTGAGTTGTCTTTTTCTATATTCTTGTATCTTCGATCCAGGGCCTTGATCTGAATCCTCGACACGGCTGCTCTGCTGATAATCTGAGCAAAGAACCATTTTAAGCAGCAAATCGCTACGAAACATACGCAGTGCACAGAAAACACGGTAGAAAGGTATTTCAGTTGGCCTTACCATCCTTCTGGGAAAGTGCTTTCTCAATAAAATCAGCTGCCTCCTCAAAATAGCGGCTGAGGTTAAACTCCTGCGTATCGTTAGCTTTAATGCCATGGTATCTGATGCCTGTGCCTTCATAGAACTCTGCATTAGTGTTCACATGCATGAATGATTTCCCCTCTGCTGCATTCAGAACATGGGTTATCCCCAGGCGCTGCAGCCTCATAATGTTCTTGGCTATGAACCTGCGTGACAGAAAGTGTCGAGAAAAGGATTAGAATGTGGCGAATCATCTCAGTGCTCGTGATGTTCTCAGAAGGTGTTGATAACCCAGCCCTTTGATTCGTCTGTTAACAGATGTTCAAATATATTGTGCCCAGAAGTGAGCTAGCTACAGGTTAAAAATCACCAGGAATATTTAGAGCCATGGTCACTACTTGTGCATGAGAGGACGCTGCTTTCTTGGCTGACAGCTGAGGAGAGCACACATGAAACTTAATCTGCTAGTTCCTACTGCAGCAGAAAATTATAACTTTCTGAATATAAAATTCTCACCGAAGTGAGGAAATACTGGAGATGATAACACAAAGCCCAGCATACTAACTTCTAAGATTAACCATTACCCACATAAGATAATTTAAACCCCAGTTCTAAAAGGCCTCTATTCTCAGCTACCAGTGTTGCAGAACTTGGTAAGCTGCAGTACTTGCTACCCTGGCAGACACTCCAGGCAAAATGACATTTTAGGGGGCAATTTTAAGCACCGTGAAGTAGCACTAGCTCCTCTCAGGCCACAGGAAGATAGAAAGTGACTGTGAGTAAGTGTTACTGCACGTTCAGAGGTCAGGGGAGTCCCATGCACAAATCTCTGCTTGTGCCCTGGAATGCAATCTACAGTAACAGACAACCATTAAATAACATGAGGAGACCACTAACTCCTTTTTGTCATAAACCCACTACTTTTCATTTTGAACCTGGTTATTTCCACGTGTCAGTCACAATATCCGCCTCACTTTCCTTGGAAGAAAAAAAACTAACACGTATGTTTTATCACACTGTGTAGTCTCCCAGTAAAATCTCAGCATTAGCAGAATGTGACAGAAGGCTTTAGCTGAAAGATAACTCAGCTCCTACACACATAAATACCTTTATTGTTTCTAAAAGCAGCTTTCAATATGTGTCTACTGGATGTAGAAACAGAAATATTTCAGAAAAATCTCCCTACAGCTCAAGTCATAAATTGCAAATACAAGGAGTCTAAATATTAAGCTGAACTCCAGCTGAGCCTTTATTGCAGTATTATTTTGGTCAAGTTTCTCTGAGATGGCAATGCACTTAAGGCTGGACATGCAGGTATTCTAAAATTTCAAAATAAATACCCAAATTAGTTGGTTTATAGCTACACGAATCTCTGAGTGCATTCACTCACAATTTTCATGCAATTCAGGGCTACGAACAATCTCGAGTGCTCCTCTGCTCCTGATGACCGTTCACCCCTTAAATTTTAGTGTAATCAGATGAATCCTGATGCATGAGTGAAGCTTCCACATTTTTTGCTGCCCGTGCCAAGCAACAATGGCAATGAGCCAACTATTTGTAAGACTTCATTACCCAAACAAATGTTGACAGATTTTCCATCTGGCAGGACATCATCTGTGCCATGGTACAAGTATCAGTGTCTGGGGAATTCTGCTTGCAACACAAAAATCCTACAGTGCAAGGCCAAACCAAAAAAGTGTTAAAATTCATCTGGAGGTTTCTACACTTACTGGTGTGAGTACATGGTTTAAGTAATATCATCTAGATCAGCATATTTCTGGTAGTGGTCAGGATCAATAAGAACTTCAATCCTGGAATCATGAAAGAATCTGGCAACACAGATTGGCCCCCCCTGGAGGCAAACTCATTCCCAGTGAATGATTTTTGCAGATTTTTATAGATTGTTTTCTTACACAGCTAGAGGTGAAAAAGACTGTATTTGTATGCCATTTGTTTCTCCCTTTCCAAACAGTCCTGGGATCTCTCTCTCTCTCTCATCCTTAACATTTCATTCCAGCTGCATCATGTTCAATGTTGGGATGCTAGCTTCTCCACATCACAGCAGAGAGATGCTAACATCAGCTTCATCTGGTTCCTGAAAAAAAACCACAGAGTCTTGTCCATTCTCAACATGGAAGATTCAGAGTTCCTCATCCCATGAGTAACACTACTAAGAGGTGTTTCTTTTGAATAGAGATGAAATGATTTTACTAGCCACAAAACACAAGTCTTGGAGAACTATTCATCAGCAATTAAGGGTGCATGGAGCTATAAACCAATGCCATATGGGATTATAGGCAAATAGAGCAAGTCTTTAATGGCAAAAATGCCAGCATATTAACGTATTTTATTTTCCACTGTTATGTTCATGGAAAATTGTTTCTTCACCAACGCTTCCCTTGCAGTCCATAAATTTAATATTAATTTTGGGAGAAGGCCTTCCATACTCCTTACAACACAGCTGCAGGCCTAGCACATTAAGAACAAAAACCAGGTTACCCACACACATTAAAGCAGACAGGAAAACTAAGACTGGGCATTCATAACCACAACATTTTTACCAAATAAATTTCTGGAGCCATGGCTTGAATTGTCATAGGTTTCCAGTAGTCTGGGAAAAAAAACACCCCTTAGCCAGTTCAGAAATGTAAGCCTGCTCGCTTTCAGGCAAAACATTGGCTCTGACAAGACATGGTTGCTCTGGAGAAAACCCTACCACCCTCCAGCTCATTGACTGCTTCCCCACCCCCTCCATCTCCCATTTTGGTGTCATCTGTATCATTCATCCAAAAATCAATTCTGTCCAACTGTTCTGGTCATGAACACAACTTACTAGCAAAAATAGGAATTATTAGGAGAAAAAAAAAAAAAACAAAAAACAGATTTGACACAACTGAGCTAGTGTTCCATTGTTAAACAACTTCCTTAGCTCTAACCTCGTTTCAACTCTATTTTAGCGCAGCTCTGGGAATTCAACAGGGTACTGAACGCCTCAGCATTTGGATGCCGTTTATGAGCTGTCCTAACGTTTGCTGTGTCAGTCACCAGGAGGAGGCTCAGTCAGCAGAGAGGCTGCCCGGGCCTTCCAGCCACAGGAGGACTGACTCAGGCTGCCTGGGCTGCACAGCCCGGGCCAGGCCCGCGGAAGGCCCGCAGGCCCCGCGGACACTCCAGCAGCTCCCACCCCGCAGGCTGGGACCGGCTTGCGGCTGCAGGAGCCGCTCGGTGAACGCCCCGCGCCCCGAACCGGCCCGGCCCAGCCCGCAGGACCCGCCGCCCGGGCCGCCCCACACGGGCCCGTCCTCCACCCGCGGCGGCCTCGCCCCTGCCGAGCCGCCCGCCCCGGGCCCCGGCCCGGCGCACTCACGCGTTCCCCACGTGGATGCGCGGCACCACCTCGTTGCTGTGCGCGCTGGGCAGGCTGTAGCAGCCGCTGCCGTTGGCCAGCAGGTCGTTCAGCTCCTCCACCGAGATCTCGTAATCGGCCATGGCCGAGCCTCCTCCTCCTCCTCCTCCTCCTGCTGCTCCGCCGCAGCCAGCCGGAGGCCCCCTTGGCGCAGAGCGGCTCCCGCCCGGCCCGCGCCCGCCCCGCCCGGCTCCAGCCGCCGCCTCAGGGGCGGGGCCGCCTCAGGCGCTGCCGCCGCCGGCTTCGGGACGAGCGCTCGGTGCCCTGAGGGATCGTGGTGCTCCTCCGACCCCAGCCTTGACCGACCCCAAACCCAACCCCAACCCCGGCCCCGGCCCCATGCAGTGCTGGGGATGGACCCTGCAGGCCTCACCCTGAAGCTGCTGCTGGTCGGAGACAGCGCCGTGGGCAAGTCGAGGTGCTGCCGCTGTTCGCTGAGCCGGGCTGAGCCGGGCTGGGCCGAGCTGGGCCGAGCTGGGCTGGGCTGAGCTGAACTCGCGGTTTCTTTTCCCCCCACCCGCAGCCTCCTGCGGAGGTTCACGGACGGCGCGTTTGAGCCGAGCCTGAAACCCACCATCGGTGAGTCCGGAACCCGCCCGGCCCCGAGCTGGGGGATGTTTCTGTCGGGGTCCCGTCGGCGAGAGGAAGGGTTGGGGAGCCGGGACCGTGTGAACCGCGGGAGGCGGCTGCGAGGGCGAGCACTGGACAGTTCCTTCTAACCAGCCTTCTCTTCTGACATCTCAGGTGTTGATTTTAGAGTGAAGAAAATGGTGGTGGACGGCCACGCAGTGCAGCTTGCCATATGGGTAGGTCTTGTTCCAGACGGATGGGGATAGGTTTGTTCTCGACAGATGTGCAAAGCTTTTGTGTTTCTCTTTTTCTTACCCCTCTTACTTCCTACTCCTCCCTTGCTAAAGTCTTCTGCGTGTTGAGATTGTATATTTATGATGCAGCACAAGAAGAATGAGTGTCTGTCATGATCATAACAGCAGCAGTTGCAGATGATGTTCCTTTCAAAACACTTGTAAAAGTTTCATTGGTCAAGGTTTGGGACTTCCTTCAATTCTAGGAATCACTGTGTCTCCTTTCCTGCAGTGTCTCTCGCTGGAAAACCAGTCACTCCTCACCTCCTTCAGTTCAGCTGGTTTTTAACTGATCAAGCCTAGCTGCATGGCTGCTGGCCTTTTATGAATTTCTGTTATTGTCTCACTCATGTTACAGGTGTCTGCTTATTGCTTTAACCTTCATCCATGCTTTTCTACCCCTCCTTAACCATTTTCCGTTGCTGCTGCTGTTTCCTGACAGCTTTGCTCACTCTCACATCTTAATGTTTCACGTATCCTTCCTGGCCAGGAAGATTTTAAATTTACTCCTCTTATGTAGTTTTAAATCCTTTTTTTTTTTTTTTGTTCTAAATATATTTGATGTTGTGTGTTTGGTTTGTTGTTTTTTTTTTTCCACCCCCCTTCTCCTCCCCTCCACTGTAGGATACGGCAGGACAGGAGCGCTTTAGAACACTGACTCCCAGTTATTACCGAGGAGCTCAAGGGGTTGTTTTAGGTATGAAGTATGTGGAAGAAAAATAATGAGTAACAAAAATTGTTTTTTATAACATTATAACATATTTTTTTTAATTTTTTTACAACATTACTGCTTGTTAGCTCAAACACTGGGTATGCAAAGCCACTGGCACGAAGTAGCGCTGCTTCAAAATACTTTAAATTAAAAAGAAGCAGAGATGTCACACTGCAAGCTGTTTGAGTGGATGAATTATTAGCTTTCTAGTTATAACTTCAGTGATTTTCTGGTAATAGGGCAAATTGGGGTTTGTGTTCTGTATTCCTTACTGACTTTGGGTGAGTACAGCAAGGGTGTTCCAGCTCTGGGAAGAGGATATGGTTGATGTCTCTCTCTGTAATTCCCTAATACCATTTTTTTTTTTCAGGGCAAGTAGTTAGGTAGTGTGGACTAAGTGAAGTGAACGTTGTTCAAGACTCTACAGCTGTTAAACATCTTTTCCTCTGTTACCAGTGTACGATGTTACAAGAAAAGACACTTTCACAGGACTGGAAGGCTGGCTGAAGGAGCTGGAAATATATACCTCCAAAAGCAACACTGTGAAGATGCTGGTTGGCAATAAAACCGATAAGGTCAGTTTAGGAATGCATCCTTTTACATTGTTCCCCAGATTGCTTGCTCATGATGGAGTATAAATGTGAGAGAAAATGCAGTTAAGTGACACATATTGTGTGAGGAGGTGATATGCTCTGAGCTGGGCAGGCTCCACTTATGACATCATTTTAGAAGCAGGTACTGTTGAAGATTTTAATGTGGCTGTGAGGTGCACTGGTTGCTGTTTGTTTCTGGGGTGTTTTGACATATTTAGGTGCCTATTGCATAGTGAGATGCTTCACTCTTGCTTTACCAGAGGTTTTCAGTGTGGCTATCAGTGAATTAGGCTCTCTTCTGCTCCCTTCCACATCTGCCCAGTTTCAGAACCTTTGATAACACCTTTTTGGCTACTTGCCTACTGAAATCTCCTTTCTGGCATGTGTCATGCTCCTGGTTGATTCAGAACTTAGCAACACATTCATTTCCTACTGATTTGGCACATGGTGTGATTCTTGGAGCTGTCCTGTGCAGGGGCAGGAGTTGGACTTTCATGATCCTGTTGGGTCCCAACCAACCCAAGAGATTCTGATTTGATGTTCCTATAGTTCAGTTTGACCCTGTAACACCTGGCCTAGCAGTAAGCTGTCTGTAGAGTGGGAAAATCTTGTTGATTACTACATATTGCAGACATTTTTTCTTTCAACTTTTGCAGTGGTGCTTTTCAAGGTGCTTCCTCAAAGCGGCAAGTGTAGCTTATTTTAGCCATGTTTTCCATTTGTCTCTGCAGCCTGATCGTGAAGTGGAGAGAAAAGAAGGACTCCAGTTTGCAAGGAAACGCTCCTTGCTTTTTATAGGTATGCACCTCTGTGACAAAAACTTGTCTTATGTCTTTTTTGGTATTGCTAAGCATGATTGAAGTGTACAGTTGTATTTCAGATTGATGGGTTCATTTGCCTTGTTTTTAGTACCTATTTTTGGGGGGTTCCTTTTGCTGCATTAGATCATGTGCATGGATGTAGGTTTTGACTTTTTGCACAGATGAAATTTTATATTTTCCTGAAGCTAGCAGGGTGCATTTCTGTTTACCCTATTCAGTTTAAGTGTACCTTAAAGGGAGAATGGAGAGGAGCTTGGCTCATTAAAAGAAAAAAAAAATAAAGTCACGTCATCTCGCTGGTCCCAAAATAACTTTCTACAAAGTGGAATGTACTCCCTGCAAATAAGGTAAAATATTTTTTTCCCCCTCCACCAGAGACCAGTGCCAAGACACAGGATGGAGTGCAACATGCCTTTGAGGAACTAGTCCTAAAGATCCTGCAGACACCAGGTCTTTGGGATAAAAGCACAGAGAAGCGGGGAGTCCGGCTCGTGGAATCTTCAGCACAGCAGAGTAAAAGTTTATGTGGTTCATACTGTCCACTTACTTAAATCTACAGGTGGCTGTTCTGCCTGAATGCAGGGGACCTAAAACAAAACACAAACAAACAAAAAACACACACACACACACAAAAAAAAAAAGGGGTGGGGGTGTTTGCATTCCAAGCACTACTCTGTTTTTAATTATTATAACCTAAGGTGCACCTTGTATGTAACGTGCCTTGCTTCTCTTAATGCACTATTAGGCTGTGTTTGATCATAAAACAAACATACAGCTTTATTTGCTGCTAGTCATCCAAAATATTTTAAGATGTTAAAGATAGCAACCTTGCTTTAAATAAATTCTGACCCTTAGTTTTTCTTTACATTAAATCTGTATCTTCTGAACGTGTTTATGTCTTGCAGACTATAAAAGCATGCTTGTAGCCTTGCAATACAGATCTAGGGTAAGATTATTCTGCTCATTTCATAATTTCATAAAGTTGCTTAGTTTGAAACGCTGTCACTGAAATAGTTTTTAAAATATTACATTCAAGTTTTTCCTAGGCCCAAGGTACATCTGTCACAAAACTCACTTGGCAACGTGTCTCTCTTCTCGAAGAAGCCAAATTACTTTTGGTGGCTGTGCTGGAAAACAGGTTGCAGGAGGAGTGCTTGTACATTTGCTGAGGTCACCAGTCTGGCAGCACTGACAAGCTGGAGCAGAGACCTGACTGGGAAAAGTGCTTGTTCTTGTAGCAGTGGGAATGTAGATTGAGTGACACTGGTATGTAAGAAAGGTGCTTTTAATATGCATTGTTTAGTTCTGCTAAACGTGGTGGAACAAGAATAACATCACACTGTCAAGATGCAAGGAACAAGACTGGGGCACCAAAAGGTCTTGCTTAAAAGAGCACAGTACACAGGAAATATTAGACCACAGCAGGCAAGCAAAAACAAGAACTAGTTACAGCTAACATGCACCTGTACAGTACTCTCCCTCCACCCCCTCAAATAATTATAGAGCACAGGATTCCAGAATCATCTCTGCGTGTTCTTATTAAGACCTATCTAACAATACTGTATATTCAAGTCTCCTGAAATATATATACAAGGTCCTCTAACAGTAACAATTAGATGCTCTGGAGGCCTTTACCAGATTTGGAGCAAAGGCAGTCATAAATGCTGCAAGGATGATGATTTCCACCTGTGGCTCAGCTACTTTGTACTTCAGCCTCCTCCTTTTAGGAGTCACAACATTGATTGTGAGTGAAGGGAAATGCATTTTGCTGGCCTGATAGCCAGTTGAACTTTTGAGTGATTGACACGGTGAAACCCCTCTCCAAAGGACACCCCTCCCATGTAGCTGAAGTACCTTGTTCCCAAAAACTACCTTATTCTGATGTTTTAACTCCAGCCTCAGAATTTGTGCCTAGAGTTGTTTGTGGCCAAAGGACAAAAACTCCACCTGGTCAGAGTCTCAGCACTAAAATGCTTTGGAAGTGTGGGACCCTCTGTGAATGAAACTTCACTGTACAAAATACACTATTTACAGTCTAAAGATCAGTAAAAGATTGGACTGACCTATTCAGTCTGAGTATTCACTTTTAAATGACAGCTGCTATTCAAAATTCTGACTCAGGAAGGCAGTGTCAGCTTTTAACTTTGTTAGTTTTTCCTCATGTATTGCCTTTTAGGCAGACCAGCAGTTCTGAAGTGAATTTGACACATTTCCCTTTTCTAATTCACGCATTTACAAGACATTTTTATACAATCTCTCCCTTAAACAAGATAACAAGCTATGACCTAACCCAGTTGACTGGCACCCAAAATGAATCCTTGTTTAGTTTCTCTAACACAGTTTTCAGCTGATTACATGCACTCTGGAGATCTTCTTTCACCAGGACAGTGTCAATTAAATGGCCATACTGCTCTTCAATGAATGCTGCTGAATTAATAATTTCCTGCTGTTCTTCATCCTGCTGACCAACACAAGATGATGGTATGAAATGTACAGCATGTCTTTTTAACTACCAGCATTTTGAAGCATATTAGCACACTAAGTCATTACTTTGAAAGACAATGAAACAAAAGCCACTGCCATTAGGAAAAGGTACGTAAGATATTGCAACTGAGATTAAGGGGCAGCAGGCTACTGGCAGCTGTTCCAAAAAATGCAAGAGGAGCTCTTGCATGTCATAGAAGTGCAAACCCAAATACTTCTTTCATGTCTAAGAAGATTAAAAGACAGAATACTTACCAGGGGGGATGAGATTTCTTCTGACATGGGAGATTTTAGGGCATGTTTTTTCTTTTCCGTAATGAGAGGCTTCACAAAGATAACATAAGGCTTAAACTCAGGAGTCCTCAAGTGCTTCACTGCCTGTGAACCAAGGAGAAAGGACGTGGCAAAAAACACTGGGGAAAGTAGGAAAAAAAGGGGACTTCACAGATAAGTTATGGTTTGCTTTGCTTAAGTGGCCAAACACTGGAAATTTTAAACCTGGAATTCGTCTGAGGTAGAATTACAAATCTTCTCCTAACCCAGTTACAAAACCTGAATCAAAATGTCAAAGATTAACTCACAGTATAGAGCTCAGGCATGTTTCCTGCCAGGAAACACAAGTTGTGAGAGCATCATTGTTCTTTTGCAGGGTAAGAAGCCACAACTGGTGAACAACATCGGTTACTCAGGCTGGTAGCATAGTAAGCAATATTTGCATTCTTTAAAATAAGATGCAGAACTTACTTCAGGTACCACATCCACCAGACAGACCTTCTTTTTGGCCATCACAGACCGGATTGCCTCCAGACTTGTACCATATAAGTTTTCTTTGTATTCTCCATGTTCCACAAATCTGAAAAGTCAATACGTTTTTAAATACCATCTACGAAGAATATTTAACTTAGCACATTTGACAGCTGTTTCCTGAAGTCACAGTAGTTCAAAAGAGGAGGAGAAAGGCAGAAAATCAGGCAGGAAAGGATTTCTTTTTCTCTTTTTTTTCTCCTTCCCATGTCACTTAACAGCTAATCAGCACTGCTGACAAAATGGGAAAGAAGAAGAAAAGATGTTTTTCACAGAAAACAGAATAAAGCTAGTAAGGAAATTGACTGCAATCCTTTCATCTTTTGGAAGACTCGTCAAAAATCTGAGGGAACACAATTTCACAAGAAGTGAAACTTGTTACCTGTCACACTAAATACACAATCAGTAGGCCCAACTAAGTATCTGTTACTCTCACTAGATTCAATTCTGACCAATCACAACACTTATGATATGCAGGTTTAAATTCGAACTTAGGATCCTCCTCCTAGTCTTATGTCATTCCTGATTTGCTTCTTACTAAGTGATTTTTGAGCTTGTGCTAACAGTCCAGACTGAATCAAGAGCTTTTGGAACCCTTCCAATACAGCTAGTCCAACCTGACATCAGATTTTGGTATTTACGTCATGCAAGACCGAATGAGGGATATTTTAAAATAGTCATTTATGCCAGTGTTTTAAAGTTGACTCACTTGTTTTGCTGCACATCTGTCTCAAATGATTGCTTAGAGACAAAATTGTATTCTACTCCTTCTTTCTCATGACTTTTCTTTGACCTGGTTGTATCTAGAAGAGAAGGGAAGTAAGACATGGGAGACACATCAGCCTTTACAAACAATGTTTTCTCTGTTTAGTTCCAGTCACGTTTTCATGACTTCAAACAAGGTAGCTGGAATAGTGGACTCTCATTTTCTTTGCAACTTCAAAAATAAAACCATGAAATGTATAAAGTCCTATCATGTTGCCTCTGAATTTACAGTAAGAATATTGCTGGCTTTTCCTAAGATAATGTGAAGCTTATATGATTATATGTGTCCCTCACTTTGGATGTCATCATTTCTTTTAATTGAATTTTAATTAATCCTTTTAACCCCTCCTAAAACATGCATATAATCAATAGTCAGAACACAAATTATCATTCATCAGTGCAGCTGGCACTACCATTATTAGACAGCGTTTAAGGAATAAAGTGGCAACACACACAAGTCAGTAAATTTTACTCACGTGGAACTGCAACACCGTATTCCTGTGGGTTCTCTGACACAACCTTCTGCTTGAGCTCACTTAATTTGGCCCCCAGGCAACCTAATAAAATAAAACTGATTGATCCACTTCTGTGTGACAGGGAATACTGCAGAGAATAAATGTATCAGTTCCACACGCAATAAGATGACTCAGGAAAGTGCTCGAAGAAACCTGTGCATGAGAGGCCTCATGACCTGCTCCATCACATTCTACTTTGATGAACATCACCAGGAACAAACTGAATTCCTGGAACAGCTGTTGGACAAACATTTGGCAGACACTAAGTCAGAAAATCTGTAATCTTAGCATTCAAGTTCTATGGGATACCCTTGATTTCTAGGCTGTCCTGGGAAAGAGAATCAATGGAAAGTCAATCAGAAAAATGATAAGTAGCTCTGCATCATTATTTTTAGGAGGATTTGGTGAGTCTGATTGCTTTTTTTCAGTAGGTTGGTTTGTTTGTTTTTTAATGTAATTTAAAATAAAAGAGCAACTTCTGACCAAAACCTGAAAAACCTTTTAAAAAACCCACCAGGAACCACAAAAAAACCCCAAACACCTAAAGAAAACCACTTACAGTGAAGGTGATAAGGGAAGAGGGAGAGAGGTGAAGAATTTTGAACCAGTTGTGCATCTTACCAATCAAGACCACCAGCCTCTGCTGTTCACCAGGCTGCTGCTGATACTTTGTGACCTCTTCATATGTTAGGAACTCGGCTCCATCTGCCTGCTCTGCTTGCTTTCCTTCATTCAGATTGTTCTCCTTCTCTTTACGACTTAACCTGAAGCTCCTGCGTAAACCAGCTGTGCAAAAAACAGAAGATATTTTAAGACACATCTCCACTTATCCAGATTTTCAAGCTTGTTCAGCTACAAATTACTGTCTTGGAATGCAAGTTATTCTCACCAATTTTTTTTTTACAATCAAATCAGTGCACATATGCTAATATTATAGATGAGAAGTTTGCAGATGATGTAGAAAACCAAGCACCCAATCTATAATAAAAACCCCCCAGTTGCCAAGTATTGGTTATGCCAAAGTCCAGCTATGCCTCTTCACAGAGATAATCTAATTTATCAATGTATGGGAAATTAATATAAATAGGCCAGTTTTCACTTTTTAATGTGGAGGTGGGTTTTTTGGTGTGGGGGTTTTGTTTTGTTTTTATTTTGGGGGGGGGGTGTTGTTAGGGAAGGGGAAAGGGATTTTGGTTTCTCACCTATGTAGTGTCCATTGAAATATCCTTCACAGTCACAGTCTTCTGTAAATGAAAAAGCAAGGAGGTGGGGGGTAGGGCACAGAGGAATATGAACACGAGGAATAGGAATCTCAAAAAGCATGAGTAATGTGAAGAAAATTACAGCATGCAGCACTGAACACAAAATACCTGATATTGGGAAAGGCAGCTGATACAGTGACATAAACTGCATGAGCCCACCACAGTTGCTCATAATGAAAATAACCCAGAAAACAGTCCAAATGAACAATGAAGGCAAATCACTTCAGATTGATACAGGTGCCCTAGAATGTTGAAACCCAATATTTCTTTATTTTTTTAAACATACCAGATAGGAAGACTGTATTTAATCTCACTCAGAAACCTACAGAATGTGTATCAGAAGACACAAATCTTTTCTCTTGAATCAAGAGCAAATTTGGAAGGTATCATTACTCAAGTCAACAATCTGAATTAGGTTAAATAATAATTCATAAAGAAACTGTCCTAGGAACAATATATCTACTATTCCCTTTGTGTAGCAAGTGTTTTAGAAAATGCTTTGGGTGTAAGAGAGGACCTACCTTTGTCAGAGGACTGATCATCTGTAGTTAGCATGAAAGGCAGAGTTGGAATGATATTAAAAGACAGACAAATAACTGAGCAAAATTAGAGAGAAGGGACAGGAAGGTTCTTCTGCTCTGATTGCTTAATAGGATTTTTTTCTTAAAAAAAAAAACAACACACAAACAACTGAAGTAATAGACCCTTATCAACTGATTAAAGTTGGGTTACTTTTGCAGCTTTCAAAGTTCAAACTACAGGAAAAAAAAATGTGAGCACAACAGCAAATTTTAAGGCATCTAAACAATATGTCAGGCTTCATGTCCTTGAAAGCAGGAAGGGAGGGGACAGCTCTGTGTTTTGAAAACAACAGGATGAAGCTCAAACCCAAATCTTCCCAAGTGGCAGCTTGTATCCATGCACATCCCTTGATGGCAGATTGTACACAAAGCATTAATCAATGGCAAAATACACTCAAAACACGTCATTAGTGAAATCCCAGGGAAATATGCTGAGAACTAAGTATCAAAACATAACTGAAAGCACAGAACAGACTTACACAGTGGTTTCTTCAGAGTTCTGGCATTCTGCAGAGTGCCTATTGTTCTCCTGTAAGTCAGTCGTCTGAAGAGAAAATAATCGTGGTTTAGATGTGCAAGCTCAGCGTTGCACAGAATTTACAGCACGTTATACATGTAACATTGAAAATAAAGAACAAAACAGGGCTTTTCCTTTAAAATTTAAAGTGTCTCTGATTCAACAATTTTTTTTTTTTTTTTGCAACAGACAATATTTATAACAGACTAAAGATGTACTGTAAAGACAGTCCCTCCATAAGCCAAGAGGGTGAAGAGACTGATATTCCACATCTCATTTCATATGTTTGTTCAGCAAGCGCTTCTGTTCTCAGGCTACAAAGTGTTAATCAATGTGACAGTGTAAATGTGTGAAGAAAAAAAAATGAATCTATAGCTGACAAACCTTTCTTGGAACTGCTTTGAGGGGATCAGGCCTGCTCTGAGGTTGGTGTCCCCCACACGCTTGGCTTGCCACCACGTGGGGTCATCTTGGCTTACGACCTCCAGGACGTGTCGCCTCTTGAACGGCAGCCCAGCCTCCTGGCAAGGAATGGCTCTGTCTTCTTTGGGATTGTAGCAGAAAAGAGCCCTCATGAACACCTTTAAAAGAGGGTAACACGTCATTTCTTCTTGCCCTGTTTGGAATTTCAAGCTGCTTTTAAAAGGCTTTCCCCAGTGCTAACTACACATGCACTTCATCTCTCCTTCAAGCCCTCAAAAATATGGAAATGCAGCAAGCAGGAGAAAACTCATCCAAGTAATTCTGTTCGATGAAAGAACAGAAACTGCACAGGAAACCTCTCTACTATCTTTGTGGTTCAATTCTGTGTCAGTGACACTTCCCACTGACACAGCAGGAATGTTGCATTTACAGAGATGCCAGAATGTATAAATATGAAAATGTGGGCTTCAGCATTTCAGTACCTTGCTGTCTTTCAGACGATCCTCTTCTTTGATGGCTGGAATTATTTTTAATGTTATTGACCCCTGAGACTGAGCCTGAGAGACAGAGAAATGTTTTTTACTTTGAAAGCAGGAGAAGGTTACAATGCAGACTGTTCAAGCTCCAGTTAAGGACCTGGCAGCTGTCTTTTCATCTCAGAACGGTAACAGCCCAAGCTAATCCACTATTTTAACTTCATTACAGAGACAATCATCATTTTCCATGAATCTTCCACAACAGTGTCTTGCCCATGGAGACATCCACAGTAACTACTTGGCTAGAACATGTTAAGACCCTCTTCAAAATTCCTTCATTTGCTTTTAGCAACTGCATTAATTTCTGGACTAGAGTTCACAGGGCATTAAATAATTCTGTGGCTCTTAGTATGAGACTGACTTAAGCTTTTGCAGACTGAACATCAACAAAATAAACACCTACTTTCATTCTAGAAATCTTTGCTAGTAAACATCAACTACTAGTTATAGTAAATTAAAAAGCACTTCCAGATGTGTCAAATCTAGAATAAGTTTATCTGATCTATTTTCGATGCCTTATTTTGGATAAGATGAACTGTGTCCCAGAGAGGCCTGCTATTCTGCACAGGTTAAAAAGGAAACACAGACCAACATTTGTAAACTGCTTATCTTCCAGGAATGTACATATAATTTGCAATTTGCTTGTCATAAACAACAGCATTAAAGGGCGGTTCTTGACAGAACAACACGTTAATTTTGTATTTGTATCTTACTTGGTACCGATCCAGTTGGCAGAAGTTTCTGAAGTCAAAAGGAGAAGACTAATCCACTGGGAGAAGAAAAACTCTTAATGCAAAGACAAGCAGGGATTGCATCTTTTTAGCTCTATATTTTAAACTCATGGTTAAATGTTATCATCTACTGTAATTACTAGATCACCCAACAGAAAAGATCTTGAAACGAAAATCAGTGCAGACCAAAATCTGACTTATTTCTTCCGGTCGTTTGTGAAGCACAGTAATACCATTGACTTCTCTTAGCTCATCTCCAACGTGGACAAGACCTGAAAAGATGGTAAATAAATTAAAATAGGGCTACCACTCCTCTGATGTCCAGCCTTAGTCATTTGCATGTATCTTCTCTCCTCCCTCATCCAGCTTGATAGATTTAATACTATTGCCTTTGTTGGCAAATGTGAGTCCCACATCTCCTGCCCTTATTCCATATGTTTGTTTTTTTTATCCATGCAGAAATGTTGCATTTGTCTTATATATATAGCTACTGTTAACCAAAATAAAAGAATTTCTCACAAAAAACAGCACATAAACCTGAATAAACCAAGATACTAGATTAAAAGTAAAAAACATTCTTTTCTTTCTTCTGAAGCTCAGACCTACTTCTTCTACCTTTGTTTGCATTTTTTCCTAGCGGCCATTTCAGAAAAAAAAAACCCACATAATTAGATTAATGAATTACTGCTGAAATACAGAAACGCTAAGGGCATGCTGAGGAAACTTCAGGATTTTACAAATGCAATTTAAAACCCCTCTCTTCTTCAGAAATTTACCACTGCTCATACCACTGCGATCAGCTGCACCACCTCTCATGATCCTTGCTACGACCACAGCTCCTGTGTGCTCGTCTCTCCTGATAGTGGCTCCCTGGAATAAAACACACCCCCCACCCAGGAGACCGTAAGAAATTCGATTACAGCACAGCAAGCAGTGTTCAAAACAGGATTTGTTACAACCAGCTTTGTCTTCTAATCTTTATACAGCCAGCACTTTTACATATAAAAGCAACAAAAGCCAAGTAATTAGATTTTTTTTTTTCCTTCTCTAACCTCCTCTGGCAATATAAAGCTTTAATCAGCTTTATCAGGAACTAAGTCACTGCTCTCCTCTGCTACTGCCATATGCAAAAAGCATATTTATTCCCCAACACAACTGTTTTTTCTTAGGAAATCAGTTCATCCATTTCCATTTGTACCCTGATAATATAATGTTTACATACAAGTATCAAACATGCTCTTACCTCACTGACTCTATTGCAAATGAGTATTTTAAGTCACTGAATGTTAACTACACCATGAAAACAATTAATACATATAATAAGCATAATCACTCCAACACATACAACTTTCTCAGTGTTCCCTGGGTTAACTGGTACTATAAACCCATGCCCAGAAAGCACATCCCAATGCAAAACTGTGAAGGTGTATTTACCCAAGTTTTCTTTTTGTGTTACTTTACTGGCTTACAGAACACTCCTAGTTTTTGCTGGCTATTTGTGACAGCATCTTCAAGTGTCTCCTCTCTACTCACAGTAACACTTTTGCACTACAGAGTTTTATGACTAGGTATGGGTTATCTGATATGTACCAAGGGTTCTTTATTTTTCACTAGCCGAACAATTTTCACTGATTCCTCATCGAAATCATCATCAAAGTTATCAGGCAGAGGTGGAAGGACTGGATCAAAGTTCTTCTGTGCTACAGTGTCGTGTACTACAAGCATTGCCTGCATAAAGGAAATAAAAAAATAGTAATTTAACGTAGTAATATTGCAGCTCCCAGTTCTCATGTTTCCAATATTACAGCAAACTTCAATCTCCCCCTTTTCTACCCTCACCACAAAACCTCCAAAAAAAGATTCAGCAATTATATTAGCCATCATGTAAACTATACACTGGTAGATGTTGGTATTTATACTAAATCCAGGCAACAACAAAGCTCAGCCTAAGAAAAAACCTGAGGGGACTGCGAGAAGCAAAAAGGTTTCCTTTTCTGTTCTGCTCCTTTAGGAAATATTAAGGAGGGGGCAGAGGGAAGACAGCCCTTGCACAATTGTGCAAAGGAGTTTTGTTCAAGTCCCCAGTGTGTTTTTTTACCCTGAGATGTGGTGTTGACAACAGCTGAAGTAGCTCTTTTTCTTCATTATTCACTGGTGCGGTCTGCAACTCTTCTATTACCTTGAAAATAAAAATTTACAACCCCAAAATTAAAGGAGTCCACCAAACAAGATCCTGAATCTGCACCTCTAATATCTATCAGCTGTCAAAGTGGAGTGCACAGATCAAAACTGATCCCAATCAGCAGCGCATGAAAACTGCGAGAATGGACAACTGCAAAACTCTGAGATATTAGAAAAGCAGGCTCAAAGAACAGGAAAAGTAGGAGACAGGAATTTTTACTTACATCTTCAACTAATCCTGCTGCACTGTGTAAAACAGGAGTTGGACTCTGTCTTTCATAATGACGGAGTTTTTCATGGATCTGAAAAAGATTATTTGGAGATATTCCTAAAGAGAGATTCAAAACTTTCTAAATATACCTGCACTAGAATATTTTTCTATGTAAGGAATATAATTTTTCTGAGATGTGTCAGGAAAATAATCTCTCTCGGGGTTACTTTTTTTGTTCAGGAGTCTTTTAGTTTTCTTTTTACTCAGATAGCCAGAAAATCTTTAGGAGTGTAAGGAAAAAAATGCAGCCATCTCAGACTACTTTTTAGTTACAGGGCACTGTATCTTCATTTTAGCAATCAGAGCAGAGGTGTTTTTTTCCTGAACAAAATATGTTAATTTTCAAATGTTCTTAATGTCTGGTGCTTAAACACACATACTTTGGTTGGTATGGAATTCTTAAGAAAAAAAAAAAGCAGCTTTGGCAAAGTAAACGGTTGATAAATCCAGGGAACAGAGAATAAGTATGTCATAGTTCTGATTTTAGCAAGAAATTTTGTCTTTCCTTTCCCCTTCCCCCTCCTGCGTGTATGTGTTAATGGGCCATCAGATAAACAAAGGAGTTGGCCTGAGCCCTAAATGACCAGACATTAATCTCCTAGCAACCAAGGGGGAGGAATTGGGAAAAAGGCCAGGGTGTGTGTATGGAAACAGGTGGGGTTTGGCGGTTGGAGCTCAGCTCTGGAGCCGGAAGGGAGGCTGCAGCAAGCAGGAGAGACTGCCTGGTTGCTTCTTTGTCTTTTCCTGGGGGAGAGGAGTTTTTGCTGCTGTCTCTCTGCGCAGCTGTTTGCTGGTTGCAGGCTTGGTTCACCGCGAGATCTTCACCAACTGAGTCGTGAGTTTTTTCTTCCATTGGGAGAACTTTCTGTTTCCCTTCCCCTTTCCCCTCCTCCCTCGCCACCCGGTGGCGACCAGGGATCCCACAGCGCCGCCCAGTGACGGGGGCTGGACATTGCAAGTTCCACTCCTCCAGGGATCCAACAGCGCCCCCTGGTGACCACTATAGAACATTACAAGTTCTGCACTTTTTGATAACTCAACAGCACCACCCGGTGAACGGTATAAGACATTACAAATCTCCAGTGACCCGAAGGCACCCCCTGCTGACTGTGGCTGGAACTGCACCAAAGGGTGCTAAAAATTGAACTATTTGATTTTCTTTTTTGCTGGTTTTATCGGTTTTGTTCTTGAAGGGGATTATTGGTGGGTATAGGGGTATTGCTTGGTTGTTTTACTTGGGTTTTTTTTCGTGTTCCTGTTAATACACACATACCTTTTAATAAAGGGCGGTTATTTTTTTCCCTTTTCCATAATTTGTTTTCCTTTAATCGGAGCCTCTTAATTTCGAATTTATAATTGCTAGAAAAGGAAGTTTGGGTCTTTTTTCTCCTAACCCATCCTCAGCAAAAGACCTTTGTCTCATTTAACCTGGGACAAAGTAGAATAAGTAAACTGTAAGGAAAATGTACATACTTAAATGAACTTTTACCTTCATTAGGTAGCTGAGACTCCTTTCACTGAAGACATCCCTAAGGAATCCCATTTCCTCTTTATGATTGGAATCAGGTCTTAGCTGAGATGTCAGAAGGGCCAGAGTTTCATGTAGTCCTAAATTTTAGATTGAGGACAGAGCAAAAACATTGTACACAGCATTTCTCATGGGACCTTCAACTGCAGACTTAACAGTTACTACACTTACTTGGGCACCATCTTGGTGATCACCAGGTTTGCAGAGACTTGTGTTTATCTACCAGACTTGTGTTTATCTACCCCTCATTTTGCAATGCTCCCTTCATAAGTGGCAAACGCAGCTCAAGATATAACAATTATCGTTCAGTATGTATGACTTCACCCCAGTCAGCAGCTGTTCTGTTGAAAACATGCAGATTAATTACCTGAGTCTTCTGAAAGCACCGGCATGGCTTTGTTCTTAACCTCAGAGACAAATGTTCAGCTCAAATCAACGTGACTGTTTCTTCTTTCTGGCAGTCCTGAAACGAGAAAACATAACACCTGAGCTCAAGTATGGGAGAAGAATGGCAAGCATGTAAAAAGAGTGAATTCCTGGTACATCTGTCCCTCAAGTGTTCAGTTTAACCTGAATCAAGCAGAGCTCTGCAGTTATTCTTCTACACAAGGAGAACAATGGAAAATACCAGGTTATATAATAACCATATGGTATCTCAGACAAGGCTGATGTTACAGAGAGCATCTCTCCAGAGAGGTAGTTTTCACAGGTCTGGAAAGACAGAAGATAATGGATGTTTAAAAGCACTGATAAACATCATGTGCAGAAATGGAGAGAGCACGCAGGAAGATGCCCCATGACAAGATGTTCTGTGGCTTCCTAAAAGCACATCTCAAAGAAATGAACATCCCCCTGGAATTCTGATGAACACCATACTACAGTTCCATGCAGTTTGTTGAAGGTAGTAAGACTGTCACACTATCAACCTTGCTCACAGGTACTAAGAATGTTTCAACAAGTAAGGCTACTTCCATTGCTCAGGAATTGCTTCAGATGCTTCTCAAATTATTAAGAAAGAGAACCTTAAATCTTAGCAACAGTGTTTGTTTAGTCAAACTTATTTAGCACCAAACCCCAAGAAAACCCTATTCTTTTCCAGACTGTTAGTGAAAAATCACCCCACACAAGAATACAGAAAATACACATTTTAGTGTCTCAAAAACCTGTCAGCAAACCCAGGAGCATCAGAATTAGTGGAGTTAGGCACAGCAGTGAAAATGGAAGCTTCCCCTAGAGGCATTTTCCATGCCCCGTAAAAATCCTGTTACACAGGACTGACTTTAAAGAATGAAAAGCATTCTGTATCCAGGTCAATACTCAGAGCTGGCTCTCCAAGGTATTAAAACCAGCCCTAGCATGTGATACTTTGCAAGAGTATGAATCTGTCCTCTCATCATTGCAGTATGAATAGGCTCAAATACACTTTTCTTCTTTAAAAATACCTACCCTAAATCATAATTCATTTTTCACACCTACCTTTGTCCAGCTGTTCCCAAGTATAAACATCTGAGCCACCTTCCTTACTTAGGAAAAGGACTGTTGATATTAAAAAAAGAGCTAAACAAACTGAACCGATGGTCTACATGGGGTCAAAGCAGGAGATTAAACAGAAGCATAATGTGATTTGGCATATCCCCATTACCTTGGAAAATAAACCTATTGTGGTTCACAGCTTAATACAACATAAAGCTTCTGTAATCCAGATGATTATCACTCGAAGCAGCAGATCTCATTTCAGAAAGCTGTTTAACATCTTTCCGGGAGAAGATCGCCCCAGCGATAAGGTCAGACAATACACCTGTACGATCACAGGGCCCGAGCCCATCCATAGCCACCTACACAGGATTTCTCCTCGCGCCCAAATTTGAGCGAAACAAGCCCTTCGCTGGGTGCTGTACCTGATTTAGCACTAAAAGAACGACTGCTCTAAAGGCTGACCGAACTCATGACCGGCGCTCCGGACTCAGCGCGACCCGGGGCCCCGGGCAGGGCTTTCCCGACCCGGAGAGCGCTTTATGTGCCCCCACACCGAGCCCGGGCACCGGTGACTGTGCCGGCGGCAAGGCTTGCGCGGCCAGAGCTCTTCACGGCTCAGCCGAGCGCGGAGCGAAGTGACATCCCGGGACCGGACTTCCCGCACATCACCGGCCAGACCCTTCCTGACCCGCTTCCCAGCCGTGAGGCTGCACTAGGTGAGCATCCCCCTTAGCCCCCCACCTCCGCGGGGTCTCCGCCAGGTACGGCCCCGAGTGTCCCCCGCCAGGTAAACCCAGCGGTGCCGCGGGCTCCACTCACGCCGGGGCCCGCACCACGAAGGCGGCTCCGGGAGCCCGGCCCGAGCCCGCCCGGCTGCGAAATGGCGTGGGCAGCGCCGCCGCCTCTGCAGGAGCTGCCACCGCGCCCCGGGAGCGGCGCTGCCGCCGGGCCGCCCTTACCTGCGGGCGCGGGGCTGGAGGATGCTCCGGGGCCTCCGAGCAGCTCCCGACACCCGCGCCCCCGTATCCCGGTGCGCACCTCGCTCATGCGCCCTCGGAGCCGTTCTCGGCGCCGCCTCCCTCCCTCCCGCCCCCCAACCCGCCCGTGGCCGGGAGGGCGGCTGGGCTGGAAGCCGGTGGGGTACGAGCGGCCCTCCGCAGCTTCCTCCGGGCCCCGCCGCCGCCCTGACCGCCGGAGCTCGCCGCGGGGCTCGGCGCGTTGTGCTCCTCTCCCCGGTCCTTGGGGACCGGCTCGCCCCGCCCGGCTGCGCGGCGTGTGCCCCGTCAGGGCCGCGGCTGCTCTGCATCTCCCCCCCGCGCTGCGGGCGAGCGGGCATCGCTCGCTGGTGGCTCCCGACCCGCGCTCCGCCGGCATCCCCGGGTGCGCCCCGTGCCCCGGGGACCCGGCGGCTGCTGCTCCCGGCGGCGGCTGCTGCGCTCAGGCAGCGGGGTGCGGCCGCCCCTCCCGCCCCGCCGCGTCCTCGCCGTTGCCCGCGGAGCACCTCGGCATCCCTCAGCATGTCGGCCGTGCGCAGGAAGTTCGGGGACGAGTACCAGGCCGTGGGCCCCGCTCGCTGCAGCGCCCGCAGGGAGCGGCAGCGCTTCGTGGACAAGAACGGGCGCTGCAACGTGCAGCACGGGAACCTGGGCGGCGAGAGCAGCCGCTACCTCTCCGACCTCTTCACCACGCTGGTGGACCTCAAGTGGCGATGGAACCTGCTCATCTTCCTGCTGACCTACACGGTCGCCTGGCTGGTCATGGCCTCGATGTGGTGGGGCATCGCCTACCTGCGAGGTGACCTGCACCAGACGCATGATGACACCTACAGTCCGTGCGTGGCCAACGTGTACAACTTTCCCTCCGCCTTCCTCTTCTTCATAGAGACCGAGGCCACCATCGGTTACGGGCACCGCTACATCACCGAGCGCTGCCCCGAGGGCATCGTGCTTTTCCTCTTCCAGTCGCTGCTGGGTTCCGTTGTCGATGCGTTCCTCATCGGCTGCATGTTCATCAAGATGTCCCAGCCCAAGAAGCGAGCCGAGACGCTCATGTTCAGCCGCGCCGCGGTCATCTCGCAGCGGGATGGCAGGCTCTGCCTCATGTTCCGCGTCGGCAACCTCCGCAACAGCCACATGGTGTCTGCCCAGATCCGCTGCAAGCTTATCAAGGTGAGGCCTGGCACGACAGCGGGTGGCACAGGGCACCCGAGTTGCAGTGGGCAAGGTGAGCAGGGTGTGGGCCAAGTGCAACGTTGTGGCCGCAATGCAGGTAGCGTGGGGCTTCTTCCCCTGTGCAGCCCCTGCTTCTGCTGGGAGGGTCTGCCCTGCCCCAGGGAGAGCTGCCCTGTCCCTCGGTGTGTGAGTGAGAGGGGCAGGGTGAGGGACCGTGGAAGAAGTTGCAGTGGCCGTAGGAGGAGCCGTGAAAGAGCCAAGCTGGCATAGGGAAAACCAGCCTCAACAGAGACCTCCCAGGGGCATTCCAGTGGATTGTGGAGCTGGCAGGAAGCCAGTTTGGTCAGGAAGGATGGATGGGTGTCCCAGTTTAAATGAGACAAAGGTCTTTTGCTGAGGATGGATTAGGAGAAAAAGACCCAAACTTCCTTTTCTAGCAATTATAAATTCGAAATTAAGAGGCTCCGATTAAAGGAAAACAAATTATGGAAAAGGGAAAAAATAACAGCCCTTTATTAAAAGGTATGTGTGTATTAACAGGAACACGAAAAAAAAAAACAAGTAAAACAACCAAGCAATACCCCTATACCCACCAATAATCCCCTTCAAGAACAAAACCGATAAAACCGGCAAAAAAGAAAATCAAATAGTAAGTTCTCCCAGTGGAAGAAAAAACTCACGACTCAGTTGGTGAAGATCTCGCGGTGAACCAAGCCTGCAACCAGCAAACAGCTGCGCAGAGAGACAGCAGCAAAAACTCCTCTCCCCCAGGAAAAGACAAAGAAGCAACCAGGCAGTCTCTCCTGCTTGCTGCAGCCTCCCTTCCGGCTCCAGAGCTGAGCTCCAACCGCCAAACCCCACCTGTTTCCATACACACACCCTGGCCTTTTTCCCAATTCCTCCCCCTTCGTTGCTAGGTGATTAATGTCTGGTCATTTAGGGCTCAGGCCAACTCCTTTGTTTATCTGATGGCCCATTAACAACATACACGCAGGAGGGGGAAGGGGAAAGGAAAGACAAAATTTCTTGCTAAAATCAGAACTATGACAATGGGTCAGGATGCAGGATAGCTGCTGGAGGGGTACTAAGGCCTGCTCCTTAGCAGGTGTTGGCTGGAAAGAAAGAATTGATTAAGGACAAATATCAGCCTTGACCTCCTCTTCCCCTCGGGGAAACTTGATGATCTTGAACTTGCAGAGCCTTATCTAGTGACCTCCTAGCATTTCAGAGGGATTGTACAGGTGCTTTAGTGGAAAGACCCTTTGATTGTCACCAATACCTATTTAATAATCACAACGGTTAGCACAGTTCAGAATGCAAGAAAACTGAAATTCAAAGATCATAACAAACAAGTTATCAGGAGACAGTGGAATTTGGCTGGCACGGAGGTCTGGAAGTTAAATCAGGCTGGAGCTGAATGGAAGAAAAACACTGCACAGCATTGGTGAGGTGGAGCAGCACAGCAGCTGTGTCTTGTCATGGGAGCACGCTTGGGGAGGAGTGTCAGAAGCAGGATCCCAATGATGGCATTAATTTCAGAATATCGTATCTGAGTGTTATGAATGTTCATGTTTGTGATTTGAGCTCTGTCCCCTGCATTTCATGCAGTGCTGTTGACAGCTGATCCTGCTACGCTTCACCTGCACCTGAAAAGAGAGCTAGAATTTTGGTTTTTCACGTGTGTCACAGTGAAGGAGTGTGAAGAGATGATTCCTCTCAAATACGAGTACTGAATATACTGTAGTACTGTTTGGCAAATGACCACATAGCAGTTTAGCATTTTCCTGAAGATTTGAAGGACATAAGTTGTTTGTTCACTAAAACAGACTAAGTGATGATGCAGGGGAAGTCTGCCTGGTAATAAAAATCAAAACAAAGATCCAGTGGCAGAAAGTTAAAGACACAGGAGTCTTTTTTTTTTTTTTTTTTTTTTTTTTTGGTATGAAGCACTTAACCTTTGGAGAAATTCATCTAGACCTTTAGATTCTCTACCTCTGACCACATTTAAAATGCAAGCTGGGGCATTTCTAAGTAACTGTGCCCTTGTTCAAGCATGCATTGATCTGTGAGATTTACTTGGCTTTGTGTTATATGAGTCAAAATAAAGAATCATGAGTGTTTCTTCCAGACTTATTGCTGACAGTTTATAGTCCTCTGCCTTGTTTTGTGATCCTTTGAGTAAAGCTGTATATGTGCAACAAAGATCACTGTCTGGGAGCCTGACATATTGGGGCTATTAAGCTATCTTCATTCAGGTTAATTTCTTTCTATTTGACAAAGTTTCTTTTAAAAATTCTCCGTGCCCTGCATAAATCAATCCTGTGTGTAAGATACTGAATGCCTCAAACACAACCTTTTGCTTTCTCCCAGATCTGTTACCTCTAATCATCCTCGCTGGATTTGTTTGCTTTTGAATGGATTTGATCGAAGACTCTTCCACAAAGAAAAAAAAAAATGGTTTGTAGATCAAACAGTTCTTAAATCAGTCAGGCAGCGGTTTGTGCAAATGCACACGTTTTTGTCCAGGTAAATGCATCTGATAAAAATCTGGGACGATTTGAGGTTTAAGTGTTGGTTCATACAGCTCACATCAAGCCTCGTTACCGTGGAGCAAAGATCATGGATAGCCAACGAATTTGTGCACCCACTGAAGGAGCAGTAGCCAGGCAACAAATCAGTGGCATAATAATCTGCAGCTTAGTTCAGAGTGCAGATTGGCTCAGGAAAAAAAGGTGTTTTTGCAGTAGTTTGATTACACCTTTGCCTATAAGGGAGACTGTCACGATCAGTACGTGGTAGTGGTTGAGATCGTTTTTATTCCACGGCATTGCCTTTTATGTTACAAACCCCAAATAATTTGTGAGAATGCTTTTAGGAGAAATCAGCTGGTATTTTCTCTGTCTTCACCAGCAGTGGAGAAACTGACTCTTGTCCCCCTCGTGTAAGGGAGAACTTGGTTATTTAGATAGGAAGGTTGTTTTTTTTTCCTTAGCAGAAAAACAAACACATAGCACAGTAATGAAACAATGCATTGTATTTAATACTCCAGCAGCTTCCTAACTGATTATGTAATCACCAGCAGTTACAAGGTCAGCATTTATAAGATACATGTGAAGTGGAGGGACAATATGAAGATACCCTAGTTGCTTAGGGAGTGTTTTTAAAGACTAGTAAAAGAATGCTAATCAGATCTAAGTTGATGGCAGAACTTTTACCTCTGACAGTGCTTCCCAGCGGTGGAACCAATGCACCTGTCAATATGAATGCAACACAATTAAAATTATTTAGTAAATGCAGCATAGTCTATCATTTATAATCAGTACTCATCTTCTTAAAGAGTTAAGTGCTTTTTAATCAAATAAGGGGAACTTTTGCCAGAAGATATTCCTGTTGAACGTTTGTTGCAAGGCTTGTAGTGTGGTACGTGGCATTTTTGTTGAAGTACATACATATATGTATAACAATGAAGTTTGTAGGTGGTGACAAATTCTAGAGCACAATAAAAAAAGTCAAAATTGGTCTTACACAGCAACCTCATAGTATTTAGCATTACTTATATTCCGTTGTGAAGACCCCAGGCCTAATATATGTGGACGATAATGTCATGGGAGAGGCAGGTTTAAACTTTATTGCATTGCTTTCCTGTTTTGCCTCACGTGGGGATTACTAAATCCTCTTTTTATCTTTAGTCCAGACAGACACCGGAGGGGGAATTTCTGCCGCTAGACCAGTGTGAACTGGATGTTGGATTTGGAACTGGAGCCGACCAGCTGTTTTTAGTTTCCCCTTTAACCATCTGTCATGAAATTAACTCAGAGAGCCCCTTCTTTTGTCTCTCACAAAGATCGCTACGAAGCGAGCAGTTTGAAATAGTTGTCATCCTGGAAGGAATCGTTGAGACTACGGGTAAGATTTAGAATAATACGCATTTTCTTGATTTTTAGTCTTTCTTTTCAGTCCTGGTATTTTTAGCGAGGCAGCTGTTGGTCCTGGATGCTTCAGAATACCCTGCCATATGCTACAGAGCTTCAGTGACCTGTACCAGACAATAAAGAGACCTCCCTCCCCCACAGGGCTCTGCATTAGCAATTCCCAAAGTGGCCAGTACATCCAAGAAGAGACACAGCCTGCCTCTCTTTGACTGCATCTAGAACACCACAACACCCCTGATGTGGCTTCTTTTTTAAGGCCCACCACCCTGAAAGAAGGTTGAACTTTAAAAGTTGCCGGTGCTGCAAAAATCTCATCCAGCGTAGCTTGCATTAAATTGAGTGCAGAGTAAGAAAACCAGTTCTACTCCGTTTTATAATCTATAAAATCGTTAGCTTACAGGTTACAATTGATTTTCATCTGATGGCCTTACCTTGCATTTTTTGCTGTAGATGCCGGTCTGCTTGCTCACATTGGAATGCCGTGCTTGTGTCTCTGTTTCCACAGGAATGACGTGTCAAGCTCGGACCTCGTACACAGAAGATGAAGTTCTTTGGGGTCACAGGTTCCTCCCGGTGATGTCTCTAGAAAATGGGTTTTTCCGTGTCGATTATTCTCAGTTTCATGCTACGTTTGAAGTCCCCACTCCTCCTTACAGTGTTAAAGAGCAAGAAGAAAAGCTGTCCCTGTCATCTCCTCTGAGTAGTCCCGTCGATAATAACAAAACCAGAGGAGAACAGGTTTGTCCACTCGACTGCGTCGATATTGCGGGAGAGAAGGACAAACTCCCTTTCAAACTTCAGAAGATCAGCTCAGGAAAGGAAAGCCTCCCACAGAGAGCCCTGAGAATGAGTTCCAGTAACACGGAGAAGACTTTGAGTACCGGAGATCTCTTGAAAATTCAAGAAATAAGTCCCAGCTCTGCCGGTGAAGGCAGTGATGACAGGATGCAGCTGAAGGCCTTAAAAATAAGTGCTGAGGCTTTGACTCGGTCTACCAGCCATCTCGAGTTACAGAGGAGCTCTCCAAGCGTGGGTGCTCTGGAGATGAAGTTGGGAGATAATTTACCTGCCAAACTTTGAGCAGTGAACTCTTGATTGCCTCTCTTAAGAGCTGAAGAAACAGGAATTGTCGCTGATGAACTGTGTTCGAGACTGCTGACCTGAAAGAGTCTTTTGACAGTAAAGTCACAGTTTGGTTTTGCCACTTTCAGGAAGAATGATCTTTTTTGCATAATTGTTCTGTACAGATCCAATTTAGGTAGTAGCATAATAGGACTTTGAGGGGCAGTAAGAATTAACTGTCGTGCCAAAGAGATCCCTGCCCTAATGATGTCTATCAGCATGCTCACTGCAAATCTACGTTGTCTTCCATGGATGCAGAAGCTTTTCCATGAAGCTTAGTCCCAGAGTGAAATGTTGGGAGATGAAGCCACAGAGGGCGTGACGCCAGCTGAAACGTGGTTTTGTGCAGCTCAGAGCTCGGACTGTTCCTGAAGTGTAAAAACAAACAGAACACAGAAAAAAAAAATCTGTGATGCTGCTTGGTCATAGTCCAGTTCTCTCTTAAGTGACCCCGTTGGAAAGTGGCCTTCCCGTGATTCCTGGAGATTGCATCCCTCCTTCCCAATGATCGTGACCCACCCGTTCTGTGCTCCCATTGCCTCAGTCACTGTCATTCAGGTAAAGGCAGCAGTTTGCAATAACCATTTGGGTCATTTGACTCCCGTGAACTCTCAGAAACGTGTTCGGAACTAGACCTCAGCATTTCGATTCGGTGGATCACATACTGAATTTTAACAACCATATTAACCACTCACTGTGAAGGGAACTTGAGGTCAGTAGCTCAGCTTGGTGGTGTGTCTCACACTTCAACTAAATGAGATTTTGAAGACATTGTAATCAA